GCCCCAGGATGTGATCAGAGTCTGGTCGGAATATTTGCAATTTGTTTAATAATAACATTGATGGGCAGTTAATTAAATTGTATGACTGCACATCGAGGGGGCTGATTAAGAGGGGGATTCAGAGGGCAGGGAGATGACAGCAGGTCATTATTTAAGCCTTGGGCGCTCTATCTAGATGTCTTAAAATGTGTGAATTTCAAATCACTTGGGCACACACAGACGCACGCACAGATAAATATCACACTTACACATACAGTAGCACATTTTCACAAGTGTTTCATGTACACAAAAAGAACTACACTGTAACTGCTGCTCTCTCTGCATCCTTCTCTTCCACAGCTCTCTGAATTTGCAGTAAACATGGGTCAAACTTCAGAAAAGCATCTCACTTCAGATGTCCAAGTGGGAGTTAGTGATGCTTAATGAGTTTAAAACCACAATTCCAGGCAGTCGCAAACCCATAGAAGCTACAGTATGCAGTGTATTAACGAGGGATGTTTGATTCAGATCTTCCTCTCTATTCAAAATAACTAACTGTCACAGGGTTATTGGAGGCTGGAGACCATTCACTGTAAAGAACATAATATGTTTAGTACCTGACACATGAAAAGATGAATTGAAACAATAAACAGAGGAGCAAAGACAGAGTAAAAGTGAACTTAGCGTTAACAGACATTAAAGAAAAGGAGTCATGTTACAATGCTACTAAATGTTACTAAAAAGTATCGTAGTAGAGAAGGACTACGAAAGGAGTGAGGTTATTTCGGACATGATCTCAGGTATGATCGCGAGACAGAAGATTAGAGGGGATATTATCTTTACTTTCACCGGACTCACTGCGGAACAGCCTGAGGAGTCTGAGTCAGGGTGCTGAGGCAATTCCAATTTGTCGCGAGGGTGTCGTTCGTTGGTCACAGAGAGTTAATGAGGCGAAGCCCCGAGTTCTAAGTCATCCTGCCACCGCTGCCGATCCCAGACCTGATTACTGTAATGAAATGGTCAGGAGATTATTAATCAAACGCCACTATATATCCACATACTGTACACACACACGCACAGATTGAATCTCAGGCACACACAAACAAGACAAACAAGTACAATATAATAGAGAAAATAAGCGACACAGGATTGATGGGGATCATACGTAACAGAAAAATAACACAGAGCACACACTGGATTGTTTCAAACATTCTTCTAGACCGATACACTGGAAGTAGTAAGTACACTACACTACGAAATGTTTTTTATAGTGTGCAGGAAATTGTTTGAGTGCTACATGACCTCCCACTGCAGTCGAGATTTGTTGACTTCCATGCGGAAAAAGTCTCTGAGCTCTGGTGGTACAGTACAATAGGTTGCTAAGATATATTACACCAAATAAAGTATTCTTGGGTTTGTGTGACTTATAGTCTGAAGTCATATAATTGGGTGTTGCGGATCTAAAAACAGAGGAGAACACTCAGTAAGTGCAGATGATATTATTTTCTGGCTCAAGGAAAAGCAGTTCAAGTTTTTTCACATTTGGTACCCTTTTCTTGTCTATTTTGGAAATGATGGGGCCCGGGCCCTTAGGAGTCGACTGTATAGATTAGCATAGACTGAGGTCTTCATGTAGGTTTATGTGCTCAATATGCCACTGTCTCTTCAACATACTCTGTATTATTTTGATCCTCAACTCCAGTAGATGCACTGCAGCATGTTTCAGAAGTGTCCCAGAAGCTAATAAAAATAGGCACTCATCTTTGTTTGACAGAACCACAGCATGTTGCACAGAGCAACGTCTTCCTCCTAACTGGCACTGTATGTAAAACATACAGTAGATACAATACCACACAGCCACAAATCTTTGAACCATCTCATTCATAACTGGACTTTGAACAGTATTACCTTTGTCTCTAGGCTATAGCACAACAAAGCAGGAAATAAAAAAAAACAATTAAAACAGGCCAATAAAAAGAAACTATTTATCTATATAGTCTACGTACATACTTGTGGTAGAAGCACAAATATCAAGGATAAACGGCCAACAATTGATCAACAAAATCTGAAAGCCTCCAAAATCAGTCATGAAACACATTCCGCTTCTGAAATGCTCCCAGTGTAGTATGACGCCTTGTGGCTGGCAGAATAAAACCCAGTTGCAGGCGCCTGGTGGAATTGTCCCTTCTGGCTCCCTTTCAGTCAAGATGGTGGAGAAGATAGCAAAAACGGGGACTAATTAATTTTGTAACGTGTCGAACTTTAGTTGTTCATAACATATCTGGCATGGAATTAATGCTGCAATTCAAAATAAGACCAAACTTTTCTACTGGTTTAAATTTTTGAGCCATGATGAGGGCCAAAATCAGGCCCTCTAACAGGCTAGGTAAGGCTTGTTGTTTAGGAGGGATGCAGACAGACATTTCCATCAAATGAAACACAGATCCAGCAATCTGTCTTTGATAAAAGCATGTCGACCTGTCTATCCAAAAAGAAAGGTTTGGAAAAATTGACAAAGAGGGTCATTTTCCAAAATGAGCAGTATCACTAATGGATCCCCTCCACCTCCTGATCACAAAGTCATCTCATATATTACGTCACTTTCGAAACACTGATATAATATGTATGGAATTTGCAAATGTATTTGCAGTTTGTAGAAATGTATAATGTCAACATTTTCTTCTGGCGACTGAGCTGCCTCACAAGGTCACAAGATATGTTTGTCTGGTTTACTGTTCTTCTTGATGGGTAAACGGTTTACTGTCTTTGCCAGCTACTTCAGTAAGAGGGTCTGATACATGAAGCCAAACTTTTAACCTGCCTAGTTTGGCCTTCTGTGACATATTCTGCACAGAGGAGAGGAATTGGCCTGTGTACAGAGCAGACCGTTCGTCCGTCTGCCACTTTGCTGCTCCCACAGAGAGCAGAGTTATTTTTCACTGAATTATCTCCCCTTAATGACCAAGGGATTCTAATTAAAGGCATGATTAGGGATCGTTCTTAAGCACCTTATTGGAAATTAAGTACAATCCATTCTGCCTGACAGCGAGTTTCTAGAGATACACTTTTGCTGATCACCCTGTGAACAGCAGGGGGGAAGATGCTAAGTCTTGCTTTTTTGTTTGCACTGGCACAACAGGGCAGGCTTGTGGCCAGTTTTTATCCACAGAAATATTGTTGGTTTGTGTATCTTCAGAAAAGATAAATGAGACCCCCTCCTCCCCTACCACCAGAACTATTGAATGGATTATAATGCCTTTTTCACTCTCCATTTTCTTAATTTTACCTATCCCCCTTGGCAATAATGTTAATGCTTCAGTTATTTCACAAGTGGGACCCTCCAGGGTGCACAGGGCGCTGCGCAAGTTGGAGGTGTTAAGCTTAGCATCGTCTTTAACTCCTAAAGATCATTTATCCCGACCTGACACATCAACTCATGCAACAGCAGTGAACAAAACAGCTGAGGTATTATTAGGAAACAATTCAAACATTTTCAAAACAAAAAAGCTAGGATGAAGAGGATAAAGAGGAAGATCTGCTGCTTATTGCTTAATGTTTTTGAATGCCTTTGTTAATATATGCAGTTACACAGAACATAGTTAGATACTGGAAAAAAAAAGAAAATACTCTCATAAAGCATGTACACATGTTTTATGTTTTAAATAACCTCTGGATATCATGCAATTGGAACACTGGACTCACTTTAAAAAACACAACCTTGCATCTTTTCTCATGAATTTGTCCTCTGGCTACTGCAAAAACTAATGAAACCGCATCCATTTGGTCCTATTGAGCCTGTCCCATCTACTGTAGGCTACATACTGTATGCACACACACACACACACACACACACGCTCACAGATTTTAATGAACCCCCAGCCACAGTATCATCTGAACACACAACAAAAACAATTCTATTACAGTCTATTGATTTGCTCCATGCAGCAATAACAACTGTAGAGTATTGATCCCACCTAATTCAGCTATACATTATTTGAAATGCATTACTTGAAGTATGAAAATGCTTAAAAGCCATCTTTTCTAAATAGGTTGGTTATATGTGCATGTAAAAGGGAAATCTTTACTTTTTTTCCCATTCTACAGTGACTTTCAGTTTATTTGTAACATGTTTGAAGAGCAAAAATCAGCACAATAGTTGGACTTTTGTTGTCTTTTTATTCCATTGTGGTTACAGCAAGTTTTCCTGACTCAATCGACAAACACGATGGTGCCCTCTGCCAACTTTATGACCATTTTTCATGAGAGGAGAAGAAATAATTACTTGATTTTCAATCAAGAACCCTAACCCTAACCCTTCTGCCAAACAAGGGAGTCCATACTCTGAATTTTAAAGATGCATGCAGTGCAATTACTGCATCCCTCACTATTCTGACAAAGTTTCTTGAAAAGGTCACTTCTATCCTGTTAGAAATGAAAATCCTTTAGGAGGAGATTCTCTACCCTTTTGTAACCTTTACACAAGAAATCCCATTGGGTTGACTCATTGTGCAGTGGAGGGGCTCATAAATCTATATCCTATGGAATGGATGTCTCTAATCAATGGCTTTGGGTGCTTGTCTTGTCTAATCACCTGGTCACACCCATTGATCATGACAGCTGGGTCAGAACAAGGGAAGCAATTACCAATCACAATACACGGTGCTAGTGAGCGATGTGTGCATGTGCATATGTGTAATTATGTGCATACTTGAAAGCCTGTAGCACCTGCACAACTGGCTGTATGTGCTAATTGAGCTGCCGTGGAAGTAAATGGATTGCGGGGCTTCGGCTTTACCAGCTGAAGTGTGGAGCGTGTGCACAAGTTTGCGAGTGTGTGACAGGAAGGGTCAAATGTTCCCCGAGGGCCGCGGGCGCTCGTGACCCTCCTACAACACCAATTTAACCATCAGTTAGTCCATGTGTGGCATGGGGTGCGCTGTCGATGGTGGGCTGTCGCCATGTCTGAGGGTTTGTGGATGTGTTCGGGTGACATCTTAACTAAGTCTGCTCCTATCAATTAGAGTGAAGAGGCGAGAGGGTGCAGCACCAAGGGGAGGCCAGAGGTGAGAGAGGGACAGAGGAGAAATACAACGCAGAAATGAAACGACAAAAGCACAGCGCTGCCAAGAAAGAGGTGGGTGTTCAGTGAAGCTCTGAGATAACTATGTTGGAATTAAAGTCTTACTTCACTGAGTTGGAGGGTGATAGAAAATAGCATATGGCTGCACAAATAAACATTAAAATGTGCATCTACATTCACTTCTTGAATTTTTTTTCAATCATAGATAGAATCACCTCTGTCGCTGTTGCATTGCTTTTGCTGTGACTAATTACACTGTCACTAATGAGGTTACATATTCGCAAGTAAAAAGGAGAAGTCTGTACACTACACAAACTGTTCATTAAAACTTTTTTTATTTATTGACTTTTCTTCTTTTTACAAACAACATTGTACAGCTCAGCACAACACTGGTCTGCACAACCATCAAGAGGAAAATGATGAATCATTTAGCTATGGATTAAAAACAAGAGTACAGTCCATAGGTGCAGTGTCTATAAGTCAATCAAGCAAACGGAAACGGAGTTATGGAGTCCATATTTTCATGAATCGTCCCTTTGTGGAGTGACGCAAACAGGTCAGATATTCAAGAGGACAACACTCCGTGATTATGTTGTGCCAGTTTGCCTTAGAAAGTGGTTTGTCACTGACAGGGTGTCTGCAGGTCCTTAAAGTCTTAAATTCAATTTTATAAATCCTAGGCCTTGAGGTCAATGAATATTATAGATTCTGAATTTATGAGGTCTTAATTGCTACAGGCATTTTATTCATCCATCTCTTAAATTCTTGTTGTCAAAATGAGTCAAGCTCTTCTGTGTCAAACTCCACATTTCTAATATTACAATTCTTTAAACCCACCACTGAACCTAATGCTGTCTTATTGCTTTATATTTGCACTTACGTGTTGGCAAATGTAGATTAACCCAACTCGCTTCTACTTACCTTTGTACTAACCTGCAGTGCTTGAATAAGACAAAAATGATTTGCACAAAAATCTGTCTTAAATTTGAAAGTGGTGTGTTGTGAAGCTTGTCACAATTAATTTGGGAGGCATATCCGTGGGGTTGTAACACACATTAGCTGTCCTGAAAAGCTGCAAATATCACAGTGACTTGCCAGATTAACGCATTTTGCACTTCACTGCAGCCATCTACAGGTGCAGTAATGAGAGGGAAGGAAGTGGTTGAGGAACTAAAGTGTTAAGTCACCTTTTTCCTGTGCTGTGAGGTAGAAGTGTTCTTCAGTGTGCGTTGGTACACTGTGACATCACTGCAACTGAGTCCTTTTTGGCGTCTCTTTACACTCTAAGATGCTGCTTTATAATCGGCCATGTTTTCAGACTGGCTGAAGTGCATGTGTTTATGGCATCCCAGATAGTTCTGGTAATCCATGGTTTCTGGTTGTGAAGTGATTTAACAGTAGTTAAGGGTACACTTGCTTCTTTGATGTCATTGGTGATGTAGATGGTGGTGTCCTGAAATATGCTCCAGGCTTTAATTGGTTTGCGTTTTAGTTTGTTAACATATTTTGATCACAACGAGATGGCAGCATGGTTGTTCCTCCCAAACATGGATAGCAACTCCACTCTACAGCTGCCTCCGAACACGATATAACAGTGATCTGGAGTGTTTTCTTAGGCTGACCAAACGTCCTCTTTTGCCTGGACATGTCCACTTTTCACGTTCCGTCCGGGGCGTCCGGGGGTCTTTTATAAACTGATGATAATGTCCGGTTTTCCGTGTGTTTGTGTGTATGTGTGTTAGAGTGCGGCACGGGCATTATATAACTGTCTGAACCGAACCGAGCCCGACATTATTTAATGACCAAAGCACTGAGTTTGTGTCACACAGTGGTTACAGGCTATTTAACAGGCCGGGCGTGCGCCGTGGGTGCTCAGCTGCGGAGAGGGAGACCTCCGTGTTTGAGACGGGAGCGGGAGGCGGGAGGTCCGACGCTTCTAGCGAGAGGAGAGGGAGAAATAAAACAAAATAAGATAAAATAGGAAAAACCTGTCTCCCTCTTTTATTTTATTTTATTTTCAGCGTTTAATTAAGGCGGAGGCGGGCGGCTGGAGGTCCGAGACTTTCAGGGAGGGGAGAGACAGAAACAAACAGCCAATGTGTGTCTGTGTGTGATATGTTCAGGTATTGTGACGTAAATAACAGTGCCCAAGCAATAAACAGGACAGACAATAGGATTTCATTTATTTTTACACTACATTTTCACTGAAAGCTGACCGAATCCGAACCGAGCCCGAATACAATTTATAGCTACATTTTTGACCAACCCCGACCGACCTGTCGGGTACAGTCGGGCTCAGAACGCCACACTCTAGTGTGTGTAGCCTATGTGTCCCCTATTGGGGCCTATCTGAATTTCTGTCTTTAAGAGATATTATTTTGTAATGTAACTGAATTTTCTATCCATACATATAAATTTTAAATATATTAAAATTATAAGGCATCTTTGAGTAAACTGCGAGTATCATTTAAGTAGGCTTTGTCATGGAGGGCCAAGTGTCCTCTTTTTTGGAAATCAAAATATGGTCACCCTAGTTTTCTCCCCTTGTGACACAGGACTGCACCTCACAATACCACTGTCACACTAGTCCCTGATCACCGTAAACCACACAACTCTTCCTATTCTCTCAGCAGTACTCTGCCAGTTCCTGTTATCCACTTGGAAACTGATCGGGCATGGAGGTTGTCCAGCTTATTCTCCAACGCTTGTATGATGGGTAGCATTATGCTAGTTTGGCAGAGACAATCTCTCTAATGCAGAGTTGCTTGTCAGTGTTGGAATCAAGATTTCAGCTTGTGCCCATCTTCTCCATTTTTCTTGATGTTTACTAATGTTTAAGTTTTAAAACCTTGACCTTGCCAACTAGCAGAGTCAGCAACGAGAGAGTTTACCGACTGGTTTATTGTTTTTCTTCTCGCGATGAGTTGACTTGCAGCCTCATGCCAGCACAGTCCAATGCTAACCACAAAAAGCACCACCAACACATGCAAAATAGACTTAGGAGCATACATGTGAATACATCTAGCACAAATGTAGCAGAGCTGACAGAGAGAGACAGGCTTGATTGCAGTTGTGGCAGGGTGTTCCTGTCCTGTGCGACAGAAGCGCCTGTGTAGATCATTGGTTTACATAGGACAGGAACACCCACTAGTATGATAGGTGGCATTGCCCACCTAGTGAGCCCACCCCAGGTTCTAGCTGGTTGTCGTGCCAGTTTATGGAGCTTCTCCGAAAAACTTTGTAAAAACTGCCAATATATGAAATAGCACAGTTGATTTCTCGTCTCAGAAAATCTCAGACATAATTCTGATCTAATTCAGAAATAGCATACATAAAGTGTGAATAGTGTTCAGACCGGATAGCCTGCCTTTGGACTACGGGAATAAAAACGTGAGTTGTCTTAGCTGAGTTGCTCTCCTCCCTGGCCTGTCTACTTCATAGCCCTGGTTAGCATCATAGCTAGGCTAATGTTAGCATTTATTAGACCCCTGGAACACCTGGAAGGGGCAGGGCCAATCAGAGGCAGCTGGTTCCAAAAGCATAGCCACGGATTTCATGAACTGGACAGAGCAGCAGTCAGTCAGTAAAGTTACTGACAAGGATTTAAGGAAATGTCTGTGCCAGTATTGTGTGAGAAAGGACAGTGAAACGCAGCCTTCCATTCTGGTGTTGACTTATTCTTAACTTACTCCTCTAACTCTCAAATATAGTTACCAGTATTGGTCTCGAAAATCCAGTGTTGGTTGGGTTCTGCTGCACACCAAAGTAGACTCTCTTCACTTAGGACCTTGCCTCTGTGCTTTCAGGCAAATCCCACTAGGATTCATATATCAAAACGGAAACATTTAATAATAAGCCGTAATTGTTGTGAATTTGGCTGATGAAAACCTTCATTAAATGGTCATTACGGACCTGCAATGTGAAATCCATACAGACCTGGTCCTGTATGATAATGAGACGGCCCTCGGGGACTCCTTTTGCTCTTTCACGGCAGTTTTTAGCACCATTTCTTCTCATTTTCTCCTCTTCTTCTCCTTCAATATCACACTCATTTTCCTCCATGCTTAGAGTTAAAAGGTACTGCACATCATCTTGTGAGTCTGCAGGGATGCACTGATGTCATGCAGAGACATAACGCTAAATATTTGTCAGCACACTTGTACATACGGTTATGTGAAGGTTTGTAGAGTACAGCAGTATCACATTTACCAAACTGTAAGGGTGAAAAATTTAAAATTGACATTGTATTCCTTTGGATTTTGCTCTGGAAACCTTTGAGCTACAGTGCTGCTTGCAAAGCCTCTATTAGTGCAGCTTCTGCTTGGCAAACAAATCTGCTTACATGCAAAAGAGAGGGAAAAAAGATTAATACATGAAATAAAATATGAATAAACACACCAACACAGTTTATAATATAAAAGTTGACATCTTAATACATACTGGCCATTCAATGGGTGTTCCATCACAATCAGCCTCAGATATAGATGTAGTGGGCTTCTTGTGTATTGGACAGTGCCTCATCAATCTTAGTGGCGCTGTCCCCACAACAAAAAGGAGAGGAAAGCAAATTGCTGTATTTAATTAATGCACTGCCTCCTTTGTTACACTGCTGCTCAGCATCTTTCAGTCCACAGAAGGAGAGAAGGAAAGAGGAGAAACTCATTCACACCACGCTGTAAACACACAGAAAACGCAAAAGAGAGAGTGAGAGGTAAAAAGATGGAGATGGAAAGTGGGGACGTAGAGAGAGAAAGAGAGAGAGAGAGAGAGGGCCGAAAAAAATGAATGGCCGAGCAGAACGGGCTGCATCCATCGGCAAACTTTATAATGAATGTCTAAGTTTGGCAAGCATGATGGATGAGTCGGGAATGGTGTTTGTCACAAATGCAATCTTCTTTGAATCGCTCTGCTGTTTCCCAGTTCAGGGCAGGGCCTTGTGTTGCTGTGCTGAACCAGCTAGAGCGTCGCCCTAATCATGTCATTAACGTTTAATGATCTGACAATTAACTCAGCGACTACAGAGCACATACGTATGACAAATATCTCGTATCAGTGTGTGTAAATGTTAATCTCGTTAGACTTGTTTACAGTAACACATCAGACAATTAAGGCAAAGCCACGGTATATTCAATTAGCTGTGAGTGATGTGTTGTAGCTGCGGAGCTGAAGTGACATAAAGCTTGTACAGTGTGATGGTCATTTTGTGCTGAGCCACACTGCTGAGCTGAGCAAGCTCACTGTGTTCACTCAGTATCCAGGTCGACTCGGTCGAAAAGTCTTTGATGGTTAAACTGAGACGAAAAAAGAACAAGGCACAGCTGATAGTGTATCTCACTTTGTAGTGAAAGAGATCAAATATTTATCACATATTCCTAATAAAAGGGATCTTTATCTGTATTAAGGCCTATTAACTGGCGTAATGGGACTCAGACATTTTCTTGTCATGATCTCCAAAAGCATTATTTTTATGCCACCATGCCAGTGATAGCTGTGGCCGGAGGCATTCTGTTTTCGGGATGTCAGTCCATCTGTCCCAATCTTGTGAATTCAATCTCTCAAGAAGGCCTTGAGGGAATTTCTTCAAATTTTGCACAAACATTCACTTGGACTCAACAATAAACTAATTAGAATTTGGTGGTCAGAGGTCAAAGGTCACTGTGACTTTTGACCCCACAAACCTGTTTTTGGCCATAACTCAAGAATTCATATGCTGATTATGACAGAATTTCACACAAATGTCTAACAGGATAGATTGATATGGTGATGAATTTCATATCCATAAAGGTAAAGGTCAACTTCCCTGTGACATCATAATGCTCTGAAATGTTTTTTGGCAATTACTCAATGTCATAACTTAAGCCCAGTTCAAACCAGTGATTCATGATGAGATGAAACCGTTTTAGAACGATGCAGAGAAAAGTTGCAGCAGTGTGAACTTCATATTTTAAGAAGCTACAAATTATATTCAGACACAAATTAAGCCTGAAAAGCTGGAAATAAGAACTAAAGTACAGACAGTTGTTGCATAGAGATGATCATCTAGTTGCATTGGTGTGAACCGGCAGGTTTTTACAACGTGGCAGGACGGTGCGTTGCAAGTAGTTGAATGTTTCAACCCGTCTCGTCGCAAATCTTTGGTCTGAACTGGGCTTAAGAAACAGAAGGGGAGACATTTGGTTGGATACTGCATTGGTGACAATAACTGTGCCTATTGTAGAAGAGAAGATAATGTTACCTCAGAGCCTTATGGTGGAAAGTTTCTTCTCCTCTGTGCCACTGCATTTTGTCTGCAGCTGTCTTTACCAAAGAGTAGTGTGCAAGTCAAGAGTGGTCACTCTGTAGCACAATCTGGGAACCAAAATGTCCCCAGAAGTACACTGCACAGCACACTGACTAAAATAGTCCTAAATATGATGTCTTGATGTATTGTCCCACTCCTGATGAAGAAACTGAATGGCTGACAAGCTTTTATGCATCGATGAGTCACAATATATACGGTATGCAACTTTGGTTTTGGCCTCAGGTTAATTTGATTCACTCTTGACTACAATTCAACCTATGATACTTTGGACTCTGTGTTAAATTTTGACTGCATGTTTTTGCACTTGACTTGGACTTGACTGAAGTAGCATTTACATGTAGACAATTGTGAATGTTCATCTACACTTGAATAATATAACATCTTAGCAATAAAAAAAATCCACTTTCTATTTAATTACACCAGAACTGATCAGCTTGGATCTGTTTGAGGTGTTGAAGCTCAAATGTCAGACACTTTCAGTCAGAGTTCCTTTGCATATGTCAGGTGATGTTAAGGAACACTGCTGGCCATCATACATTACCTGCCCGCTGCCACTGTCCGTGTGTCCAGGGTAGAAGGAGTACAGTCTCCCACAGTCTGTTCGGTCTAAAGGACGAACAGCAGGGTCCATTTCTCAGAGATGTGGGTGGCCGGCTGCTTGCCTACCCATCAATATCATGCAAGTATGTTGCTGTGACCTGCCATGCGTGTCCCCTCAGCTTAGATCAATAACACGAACAGATTGTACACCCCCTCCCCCCCAAACCCTCACCCCCCCACCTCCACTCTCTGAGGGATTAGTGTGTGCCTTTTCAACATCATTATCATATATCCCCTCTTTGAAAGGGCAGTGTCAGCTAGACTGTTGGAGCACTACAGAAACGCAATGGGCAGTATAAGCTCTGTGAGATATAACAGGAAAGATAGTGTAACTGATAATGAAGTAATCACGATACGACTTTTAATGAATTATTTTTTCAGTGCAGGTCCATCTGTTAATTTTTAAAGTCACCAGATAATATTTTCCTGATACATTCATGGGATGAAACAGGCTCTTGTCTTTTTATGGAACAAACAGCAGCTCTACAAAAACAGCAAAAGCAAAAAACCAAGACACAAGCAATCATCACTCACACACACACACACACACACACACACACACACACATACACACACACACACACACACACACACACACCGGGTCAAAAACAAACCAAAGGAGACGGGCCACACGCGGCAAGTCTCAGTGGAAAAGAGCACACGTGGGATGAAGGGGGAAGAGAAAAGAGAGGAAGGAGAGGTGTTCACCTTGAGAGTGCTCATCCATTACAGGAAGGCTGAGGCCCGCTCTGTCACACTGTCACAGTGATGCCACCTCTACACCACCCGAAAGGTCACCCAGCACTTCACTGCACCGCTCCAAACACAAAATACACACACACACACACACTCTATTTGTGCATTTACGAAAACGCAGATGGACACACTCCCATCTGTCGCCCTATCGCTGACAAGTTACTGCTGCTGCTGTCGCACAGACACAAATAAGCCCAGATATGCATATAGCTACTGTATGCGTCAGAGGAAGATAATGTTCCACCAGTCACTGTTAAACAGAAATTAAAAAATAGACATTTTCATATTTGGTGCCATTTTGGATGGGACAAGTTTTTCACTGGACCCACAGAGTGATAATGCACTTACAGTTTAACTACCACCCCATACCCACCTCTCTACATCACCACTATTTACTATAAATCACACCTTGTTGTGAAAGGCGCTGTTTTTCGCACCCTAAAAAATAAACTGTGAATTCTACTGATGTTTGTATGAATACATGTTGTAAGAGATTTTTCACAGTGACCTTCAGTATTCCTTTCACCCTGGATTTAACAAAAGAAAAAAAACTGTTTGGCATTTGGATTGGATCGCAGAAACAATGCTACAGCTCCACAATTCTTGGCTGTACGTCAACATAACACACACACACACACACACACACACACACACACACATACACACACACACACACACACACAGTTTTAAACTTTGAGGTTCAAATTTTATATTTCTGTTTTGACTCAATGCACATATTTTGTGTTCTGTGGAGGTTTTTTTTCCAGTAATAGCAATGTTTTTTTCTCCCTCCTGTCAGTAAAGACTAGATGCAAGCACTGTAAATCTGACAAACATCACAAAGCACTAACTAGCTTTCAGAAGTAAATGGCATAACAGAAAAATAACGTCAGCAAAAACAAAAACACTGAGGCTTGATAAGAGGCAGGAGGACAGTAACATTAAACTTAAATGTTTTATTTCATAAAGCAAAATGTCTGAGGCTGTCATTTAGACAGTCAACTAGTAACTAAACTTACCAATTGCACCCATGTGACACTGTATCCGGTCACTGGCCACGCAGCCACTGTGAGAATGGTCTTTCAAATTTAATGTATTTTTCCCGTTCATTTATAGTTTTTCCACGTCATACTTCACTACACAGGTGCAGATCATTCACCATCAAGCGTCGAAGTGCTCCATTGAAACTCCAGAAGGCAGAATAGCCACACCGCTGCTGTGGTAGACTGCCCCAGTCTCCAGCCAATAGAGCCCCACTGCCAGTTGCCTTCTGGTGGGGGCAGCTTGCCTACTTGTCATGACAGGGCAGTAACAGAGATATTGGAATGTAGCCCTGGACATCCTATGGTTTAGAAGAGATGTTCCTCTGTGAAACCCTCCACATTGCGACCCCACAACTCCTGACTCTTCTCCCAGCCGCACCCACACCTCTATCTCTACAGAACGACCAACAATAGATGCTTATAGAGCTCCTGGACCGAATGCCTATTTGTGTCACAGCCCGTTATCCTGAAAATGGTCATCGCTCCGAAGGGCCATTTCTACCAAAATATGCTACACACTCTTCTAAACATTAATAAATGGCGCCACTATGTCATTCATTTGTCCCCAAATTCCAGTTTTACAAATGTCAAGTTTTTTATGCCTCCTCGCCAGCGATGGCTGTGGTTGAGGCATTAAGTTTTTGGGTTGCCCGTATGTCCGTCCCATTCATATAAATGCAATATCTCAAAAACACCTCAAGGGGATTTCTACAAATTTGGCGTAATTGTCCACTTTGACTCAATGAACTGATTACATTTTGGTGGTCATGGGTCAAAGGTCAAGGTCGCTGTGACCTTGTCTGTCTTATTCCTGTGAATGTGATATCTCAAGAACTCCTCGTGAATTTTTTTCAAATTTGGCACAAATGTTCACTTGCACTCAACGATGAAGTGATTTGATCTTGGTGGTCAGAGGTCAAGGTCAGTGTGACCTTGCATCTTTCTCATTTTTGTGAACACTGTATCTCAAGAACTCCTTGGGGAATTACCTTAAATTTGACACAAACGTCCACTTGGACTTAATAATGAACTGATTAGACTTTGGGTGTCAAAGGTCAAGATCGCTGTGACAGTATGTCTGTCTCATTCTCGTGAAGGCAGTATCTCAAAAAGGCCTTGAAGGAGTTTGATCAAAATTGGCAAAACGTCCACTTGCACTCAAGAATGAACTGATAAAAGTAATTTGGTGGTCAAAGGTTAAGGTCACTGTGACCTCCCAAAGCATGTTTTTGGCCATAACTCAAGAATCCATATGTATTTATGACAAAATTTCACACGTTTATCATCATGATGTTTTTTAAGATTATTTTTTGGGCTATTTTCTTTTATAGGACAACTTGAGAATGATGGGAAAGGAGGGCAGAAAGAAAAGGGGATGACACACAGTCAAGGGCTGCTGGTTGGAATCGAACCCAGGCCATAGCAAGGACTCAGCCTACATGGGGCACACACTCAACCAGGTGAGTTACAGTTCACTCTGTGATGTCAAAATGTTCTTCAGAATCACTTTTCTAGCCATTCCTCACATCATAACTCAGGAACAGAAGGGGAGACATTTGCTGGGATACTGAATTGGTGACAGTAGTCTTGGGTGTCCATCTTGAAATTGTGCAGATTGTATGGATCTTCTGTGCTGTCAGGGGGGAAGATGTGTGTGAAGCATCCATGTTTTGCAAACATGGCTGTAAACTGTAAGTGTAACTTGAAAGGTACATGGAGACATGCAACTGCAAGGCGGCAATTATAGTTTTGTTGTTCCAGTACGTATGTGTACGACGTTATTAGTTGCATGTAACGCATTTCAAGTCAGAGATATGTTCACACTGATGTCAGATATGGGTCACTTCAAACATGTTAACAGTCTTGGCAGAAAGATAGGATCTGGGGAAACAGTCAGGATTAAGCATTAAGCCCTGGAATGTGAACATAGCTTAAGGTTATTCAGGACGTGACAATTGCCATTGTTTATTTTGCTCGGTGACAAAGCTGGTGAGCACAAGGCAAAGAAGTTCTGATTCTCCATTCAATGTAGCATCACCACTGTATGTGAATGATTTGCAGCCACCGCAGAATCACAGCTGCCAGTAACAATCTAAGTGCTGTTTCCTAATTGATTGTATATGTCACAACAATTTATACTGCTACAGTAAATCTGTAGACTGTGAAACGCATCACCACCAGTTTTTTTTTTCTTGATAATTTGCACTCACTGTGGGCTGGTATTTGTCTCGACAACATATTACAGGTAAGCGTGTTTTCTGTGAGCATCTGCTTTAACTTGCTGTGATATGTTAGAGGTGTAAATTGAATCAAAGAAGTGTGTTTATATGTGTTGTTTGTTCCTGTTAAGTTTAAACAGAATGTGCAATATGTTTTGTGACCGTAATGTGCAATATTATGAGGACCTTGTTTTTGTCTCTTCTGTGTGTGTGTGGGTGTGTGTGTGTGTGTGTGTGTGTGTGTGTGTGTGTACACTGTGCATTTAATCAATCCCATTCTGGCAGTGGCTCCTGCTCTTACACACAGCAACACTATGGCCCCATAGTGCATACACTTTCATTTACTTTTCGGGGCCGTGTCCACCAAAGTGGGTTTTTTTTCTGAGGCCAGTGTATTTTGCAGTGGGAGCGCTGCATATTTACGCTGTTCCACAAATGTCTATCTATCTATCTAGCTTAACTCTCATAGACCAGCGGGTCCGTCCTTTCTCTCTGTGTGCTTCAGCCTTCCTCTCATCCAGAGTTTCTCACCTTTTACCACGCTATATAATATAGCATATGATGATGTTCGTCATGCTCATAATCACAGAAAGCTTTGAGGTTCTTGCAGCTAACATTGGCTAACATTAGCCACAGCATTTGCTAGCTTTGTTGTAGCTGCCAACGTAAATTCATATATTGATGCATTTCTCCGCATCTAATGAATGACAGACTGAAGTTTTCTGTTTTGCTTTGCTGATCCTGCCCCAGTATCAGCCATAACCACAAAATACAATGTCAGATATACAGAAATATCTCCTCCTGCTTTCTGTTAACTGGCTAACGTACTTTTCACTTCGAAACTTTGCCTGAAAAAATCTAAACATATGCATACATCTGATCAGGATGCCCCCTGTGTGCCTCCTGGTGGAGGTGTTACGGGCACGTCCCACTGGTGGAAGGCCCCAGGACACGCTGGAGGGATTCATCTGGCCTGGGAACACCTTAGGGTTCCTCAGGAGGAGCTGGAAAGCGTTGCTGGGGAGAGGGACATCTGGGGTGCTTTGCTCGGCCTGCTGCCCCCACGACCCGGCCCTGGATATTGGATCAGGATGGATGGATGGATACGTTCTTTCAGTCTGTGTGCCATGTTAATTGTTAGGTCTGATTTTTGCGGAGAGTAGGAGCTGGGGACTGGCATTAAGAATAACTGTATAGAAATAATCTTTTCTCTGATGGTCTCGTTTGCTTGTGTATGTCATACTGAGGCATCAGTATTGAGCAGTGTTTCCCATACATTGACGAGACTATGGCGGCCCGCCTTAGTTTAATTTCCCCCGCCATAGTCTCCAAAAATCGGCCAGATATAAAATGCCTCTGGTAAATGAACAACACAGTGCACCGGCTGGAGCGCCGTCAAAAATAGACCCGGCCTGTATTTTTAGCGGAGTGGAGCGCCAAGCTGCTTCTAGGCTGCGGCTATAGGAGCGCTGCGGTGCTTCTGCAGGTGGAGCAGCTTATATTGACTTGAATGGCCGCGATTAGCTCCAGCACCCGCGCCTCGGCCAGCTCGCGCACGCGACGGATCCAGTGGGTTGCCATAAATGGGCCTGTCCCAGAGGCATTCAACTACCAGAGGGCTTTTGAATTCTTCTTTTTGAAGCTGTGTAAAATGCTCTGATTCAGGGTGCCGTACTTGCAAATCGTGAGGGAGGGAAGCAGTAATTTGTGTCTGTTTGTGTGTAATTAATTTGAGTCTTACCTTTTGTTTTCTTTTCGTATTGCGTATTTTGTATTGTTTTGTGTATCTGTAACTGTGTTCATGTGTGTGAGAGAGAGTTTTAAAAGAATATTTTGTCTGCATATGATTTAAAATCATAAAATAGCCCTGCAGAGGCAGATCAGTACGTTAGTCATTTTTCTTTTGATTACTGAAATGTTAAACCACTAATCCTTAGCCATATTTTAAGTGTAACCCTTCACCATAATATACCACTAGTGTTTTTATCAGTAAAAATCAGGGCTGGACTGGCATTTTTGGCCATGGCGGCCCACTATGATTGGTGATATGCCATACGTACACACTACGCTGTTACCAAAATTAAAATAAATCTCAGTTGTACCCTACGTGCCCAATGCGTGCACAATGTGCGTGCACAATGTCCCAACAGGGGACAGCCCTCCATTCCGAAACCCCGCCGTTCAGAATGACCCCCACTCCGAAATTGATCTCAAGTCCATATCGAGTCTCCTGCATCAAACACTGCCGCCCGCTCTCCGGCCGCACTCGCACAATTCTGAAATTCGCTGTAGGCTACTACAAAAGCTTGAAATGAAGGTTCAACTCATTGTTTTTTATTGAAAATATGTCACTGTCTTCATTTATTATGTATAATTTCTCTAGCAGCAAACACATCAAGGAGACGCTTGTCAAGTCTTTTATACGTGCGCTATCTGGTGCTGAAATCCCCGCTGCAACCGCCGCTCCTGCTGACAGCAGACCGGGGGAGAAAAAAAAGACATTTCTTTGCTCTGTGCTTTCAGAAAATAACCAGGGTTAGGGGAAGAAAGACCAACGGTCTGTACAGCAGTCCCACTGTGTTTGCCAGGGCATACCAGGCTGTGTGATTATGCACAAAGATTGGTTTAACGCATTAGAGCAATTTCATACAATTTCGGACATTTAACGTGATAAACTAATTTCAATTCAACATGGTCATTTGCTTAGAGGATTCAGCTGAAGCATAATGAGTGTTATATGTCATTAAGATGAAGTATTTGCTTGTTTTGTGGTTAATTATGCACATGATCCGTTTGACTCCATCATGCGTCCCTGCAGACACGGGCAAAAGGGTCAATGCGCAGCCTCCGTTTACTTTGCGTCCGTCTCGTTCATTCAAACTTTGTAAACACGGTTGGCATATTCTGCCATCATAACTTGGCTCTCAGAATTCACCAGATTGATGCCTTTAAATCAAATATATACAAAATACAAAAACAAAGCACGCCCCCGGACCCCCCTAGAAGGTTCAGACCCCCCGCCATAGTCTCCAAAAATCCTGTGGGAAACACTGTTGAGATTGTTACATAAACAGTCAACTTGTTGTAGCTGCTTTAATTAAAAAAAATAAAAAAAAAAGCGTAGTAGTTGGTTTAGGTGAGGTTAATTTTAATTAATTTGTATCAGACTGGATTATTTTCATTATGGATTAATCTACTGGATATTTTCTTGAGTAATTGTTAATTTTTTTTTTAAATAAATAGGTGGATTATGAAATAAAATGATTTAAATGAAGAGCAGCAAATCTTCACGTTTGTAAAACTGGAACCATAAAATTTGTTTCCATGGAAAAACAACTTAAGTTAAATGACTAATCGTCTCAGCTATACTTCTATAAACTCTTAGGTAGTTTAATGTAACATACATCGTATTTTACAAGCTCTTCATATGTTTTGTATGTAATTATCTTAATAAGTAAACTCTTAGCCAGTAACTGAAGCTGTCAGATAATTGTAATGAAGTAGAAGGTACAATAAATGAAGGAATATTAACTGTTATTTTAGCTGTAAATGAGAGTCATACAAATTAAGGCAGACAGAAAAAAATTAGAAATTTAAAGGTATACTATGCAGGATTGTGGGTTGCTGTTTGTAAATACGCTCGCCAGCCAAGAGGAGTGAAGGAATGCGAGTGAGTCAGGGAGGTGAGAGAGGGTATGACAGGCTGACTCACTCTGCTTCTTTAGGATCTGGAGAGAACAGGTGGTGTTATGATTTCAGCGAGGTGCTTTAGAGGCTGCCTCGCACAAATGTTCATCTAAGCGGCCAGTTAGTGGTTACCTCAGCATCTGCTTGTAGAGGAGAGCCTCACAGCAGGGCATTTAAGACCATCAATAACCCGGTAAACCTGCAGGCTTCCTGCAGTATGGAGTTCAAAACACTGTGTTTTAGGTGAAAACCAGTACACTACCAGTAATAGGAATTTGAATAGCTGGGTTGCTTATACATTTTGCACCTTTTTTTTGAAGGCCATCAGATTTTTTCACAGCTTTAGATTTTTTTAAAGTATAATATCACCATTCATTTGAGGTTCAACTTCATGTTTTACATCAATGTGTTGCAGTTTTAGTGACTATTACTTCCTAAATGCCTCATAACAATGTGTGTAGCAGAGGAAGTAGTAATGTTTGCTGACAAATGAATATATACGCATAAGAAATCCACAATTACCTCAGTAATCATCTCTGTTTCTGGATAAATTT